CATTCTAATTGGCATTGTAACCTATGGGGAATGAGTAAATAATAATTGGCATTGTAACCTATGGGGAATGAGTAAATAATAATTGGCATTGTAACCTATGGGGAATGAGTAAATAATGAGCCAGAGCCAAATAAAGATTGTAAATTGTAAGAGCATGTACTTACCAGCCATGCTGGGTGTCCCTCATAGAAATGCAATCTTCCCTGCATGCATACAGTAGGAACACCAGATAAATAACCAAGGACAAGATTACCAGCATGACCCTGAACTGTACGAGGAGAATTCGAGAAATAAGGAATTATAAAGGTTAAGAAAAACAAATCCAATTCTCACCTGTGCATTTAGGAAAGCCCTCAATCTCAGCATAAGGTATTACCTGAGGGTCCTTAATCTCATTAGCTAAACCACCAAGACCTGATCCGCATATGATACCCAGCTTAGGGCAGAGATTTGTTTTCTCAAGTACAGAACTGGTGACCTTTTGTATCTCATCATGCTCGATCTGGCTGACCCTGTCGTTCATTTTTTCAAATCAAAATATCAATGCACATTGCACAAAAAAGATCTCCCAGCCAAGTCTTAATTGGCTAGACTAACTATTCATTTCAATTATGCAGGCATGCAGATAATCAATAATCTATTACAGTACATACTTTCTATGCATCTCAGCCAAGTTTACACTAGACCTTCTTCTTCCCTGGGTCTCAAAACTCAACAGAGACATTGCAGCCATTGTAATTTGATCTCTGAAATAGGTGGAGTCAGCATAATATTTTTGTGAAATTAAATAAAAGTCATACATGTATAATAAAAACTAATATTTCTCCATTGTACAAGTATCCAATAATGATATAAAATTAGCACTCTGTATTAAAATAGTCAATTTTCTTTTTCCTTATGCAGCATAGCAGCAGCAGGAGTAGCAGCACTTTCTGTAGCTTTAAGTGTGCTTGCTAGTTTTCCTACAATTGTTTTAACAAGAAGTTGAAGGTCTTTTGCACGTTTATTTGCAGTATCCATCACTTCCTGATGTGTTGGTGGTGTTTTGTCTGAATCTTGTTTAAGGATAACCACATTAGTAACCATTGAAAATCCTACAAAAGAGAGAGAGAGAGTACATAATGGTGATAACATCACTTCATCATTACTTACCTAGTACTTTCATCCCAGCATGTATTGCTACCACAACTTCAGGTGCAGTGCTCATTCCTACTGTATCAGCTCCAATTTTACGCAGAAGTCTTGACTCAGATGGGGTCTCATAGCTCGGACCACTCACTTTGACATAAACCCCTTCTCTCATGAAACCAGAGAAACCCAATTCCTTGGCTGTCTCTTGAGCCAATCGTCTTAATTCAGGATCATAGGGCGTGGTCATGGCTGGGAAACGTGGACCAAACCTAAAATAATAAGAGTTCTGAGTTAATATTCATAGAATTTTGTGCATAGTATACATATATAAAACTATTTTTGTTATTTGTTAAGTGAAAGACGATTCCACTTCATTATGCTGTTAATGGGAAAATGCAATGAATGAACCATCTTTATTCATGACACATTGAATATCATGTTCCTTTGTTTCCTAAACAATTGGGACCAGAAATCACTCCACTTCTTTATAGTGGTCTTATCTGCTTTTTAGCTATTATACCTTATAAGGCTGTTTATTTAAAAGTTACTAGGATTATGTCAGGTGTCCAGCATTAAAGATTAAATCATTTTCACAAAAATCACTCATGTGGTATGATTAACATGATTGCCAGATGTTTTGAGCTAACTTTTCATCATTTGGCCCCACCAGAGGATGCTGACCAGTCAATCCTGTTAAGTTAATGTGATCCTTTATCACCATTATGTCACCACTGTTGTAATCTTGATTGAGACCTCCAGAGGCATTCGTTACAATGAGAGTCTCAACACCAATTAGCTTCATCATTCTAATTGGCATTGTAACCTATGGGGAATGAGTAAATAATGAGCCAGAGCCAAATAAAGATTGTAAACTGTAAGAGCATGCACTTACCAGCCATGCTGGGTGTCCCTCATAGAAATGCAATCTTCCCTGCATGCATACAGTAGGAACACCAGATAAATAACCAAGGACAAGATTACCAGCATGACCCGAAC